TTTTATTTACAAATGAATTAGAAGACGTCAACAAGAGAAGACTTGTCCATCCAGCCTCACATGTTGGAGCCAGAGTCTGACCCAGAACCAGAGTCTGACCCAGAACCAGAGTCTGACCCAGAACCAGAGGAGAATGAAGACCATCAAACTGTAGTTGGTAAGTCCAGACCTTATTTAGACGTTCTGTCACAAATTCTGTTTCAGAATATTTTAGAAAATGTCAGTCAAAATAGAGAAAACTGATCAGGTTGAACAATTTGACCCAAATCTTCTTCACTCCTGGAGACTAAGTACACAACTAAATGTTTTTTAACATCTAAAATGTGGATTTTTCATGACATGTCCTCTTTAAAACCAGTTAAATCCACAGCCTATTTTTATACTGGCTGTTTTATTTTCATGTAAAGATTCTGCGTAATGTATAAATTGCATAAATATTAATTCCGTTGCATTTCTAAATATCATGTTTTGTGGTAATTTGCTTCACAGTGATCCACTTTGTAATTACTGCTTAATCACAGTTAAGCGCAGAACATAATTGTCAGTTTATTTAATAAGACTTGAGTGTATTACCCTTTAAAACCTTAAATTAAAGAGGCAGTTTTATTTAAATTAGGTTTACTAAAGGAACCGATTTTATTTTGTGTAAATCTTATGTTGTCCAGTTTTCCAGGTGATTGTTCAGTTGTTTCAGCTGTAAAGGTTCTTCAGATACAACCAGATGTTTGCTCAGTTGGATCTGGATGTCAGGAATGCAGTTCTGCTTATGTATGTATTTGTACACGTGTGTGTGTGTGTTTGTGTGTGTGTGCAATCTTGGTCAAACTACAATTAAAAACACCTGAGAGGAGCCATATTGCAGCGTGTAACTCATAAAGAATAAAAACACTGCAGGAGAAAAGCAACTCTAAAAATAATTTGGCAACTGATTAAAAGAGATTTGCAGTTTAGTTTTTGCAGGATGGTTCGCTGCAGCCTGTTTTTGAGCAGAGATGTTGGAAACATGTTGGAGTTTATAGTTTAGTTTAATTCATTTATTCATTTCATTAAGAAACAAACAAAACATTTCACACAACAAAACAGAACAAAAAAAAAAGAAAATGAAAGGCAGCAGAAGAAGAAAAAAATTCTTATGATATCTGCTTTTTACCTCCGTCAAGGGCGAGGTAATGTTTTCGGTCGCGTTTGTCTGTCGTTCTGTCTGTGGACAACATTACTCAAAAACTTGTGGACGGATTGTCATGACATTGTTACCACGTGTGTGTAC